TATATATATATACTGCAAAATATCCTCTCGGGATCAATTGGCGTGTTTATTCGAAGAATAAGTACGTATAAATCCGTCTTCCTCTCTACCGGGATCTGGAATAAATTAATCGGGTTTCGACCCCGGCTTGAGGAAATCGGATGTGTAGCCACTCCGATGAACAATCAGATATATGATGAGCAATCTGATAATATATATATATATATATATATATATATATATATATATATATATATAGTTTATGCAAATTTAGGTAATCCGTATGGGTAGACCTGAGGAGGATGATATCCAGAGAGCTCAATGTAAAATTCAGACAGATATGTTTTGAATAAAAGACAGACGACGTTAAGATTCCATGTAATAAGCTATTTCACCATAACCCCTTTAACAGGGTTCTGGATCATCAGACTTTACTTCCAAAAGCTGAAATGAAAAAATGAAAAAGAAATTCACATTTTTTACGGGCCTCATCAAGTATACGCAAAAGTTAACGAAGTGAGGAAGTGAGGTGGGAGAGAGGATATGTTTGTCATATGTATCATTTTAGTTTCCTATTTTAACCCCAGTGTGTCGGCTGGATGTTGCTCAAATTTAACGCGTCTCGTCTCTAGATAAAGGTGGCTACGGGGGGAACGATAAGAACTACATTAAAGGAAGACGTTACAACAACCCCAATAAATTATACGACAGGTTTCATTCAAATTCTTAGACGTTGTCAGTTCGCGTTACTTTAACGTGCATATTTGGGAGGTTAAGGTTTGATAAATATCTAAATTTTAAAACAATCTACGAAGGAATTAATTTGAAATTCGGTGGAGTTTGGGGTATTTTCTATGAAACAGTCGATTGGAAAAATCCATAAACAGAACATTGAAAGAGCAATCCAATTTATATTTAGTAATTTTTTTTTTTTTTCCACTAAAACTTTTATCTTATAGCTTGTTAGGTTGACATTTATTCGTTTGATTTTTGTTCATTAAGTAAACTCGTGATTGTTTTTGATTTTTGTTCATTAAGTAAACTCGTGGTTGTTTTTATGTACCCAATTATCAACAGTTATTCCCATTTAAATAATTTTATTAATGAACTAGTTTTTAAATGCCGGCACAAAAACAGCCTAAACCTAAGCAAGTACACTAAGAAATAATCATATAGGAACAGCAATTTTGAATGCTTTATATTCCCTTTGTTTTTAGAAATATTACTATGCACACGTGAACGCTAACACATGACTATATGTATACAACTATGATAATGTATTTCACACTGAGACACCTGTTGATATGTACATGTATATGTTTTATACAGAAAAAGAAGCATACCAGTTTTTTTTTTTTTTTTTTGGTGAGTGTGGAGATGTACAATTAGATAGGTACTTATATGTTTTTGCCATAAATATGAAAGATCGGGTAATATTATATGTGTAAAGATATAGATAACGTAATTAAATACTGAGATAGTCTTCGAACGCAGACATCAGTGGATGCACGGGTGGACATGAGGATAGGGATTCGTAGATTGTTTTAAAATTTAGATATTTATCAAACCTTAACCTCCCAAATATGCACATTAAAGTAACGCGAACTGACAACGTCTAAGAATTTGAATGAAACCTGTCGTATAACTTATTGGGGTTGTTGTAACGTCTTCCTTTAATGTAGTTGTGCTCCATAATTTCGGCCTTGTGTCACATCTAAGTACGTTTAATAAAACTGTATATATATTAATTGATTATGCAACACTTGATATCATCGACAGGATTTATTAAACAAATACCCTACACATTAAATAAGATTCTATTAAATTTCCGTTGTATATTTAACGCATTATCAGAGAAAGCCAATGCATGAATAATTGAAGATTCCTGATAGTTTATGTTTGAAGAGATGGGATCTTGTTTGCAAGAAAATGAAGCAAATTGACAAAGATATTAACATTAGCGTTTACAATTGATATCAATATAATATCAATATAATATCAATATAATGATTTAACCAGCGAATTTTGCAAACATTTTTAAATTACAAATTTATGTTCATTTGTTTGCACAAATTTTAGGCAGTCAATCCGTATATTAGAAATTAAAAATTAAACAGAAAAATAATTTATGAAAAGTGTTATTGCCCAACTAATAGTAATGTTTATTACTCCATTTACACGAAGGAAAAAATAATAAAATCCACAAGCAAAAACTGTTAGCTAAACATGACGTTGGGAAATGAATAGTGAGTCAATTTCAAAACTCTTCTTAAAACTTCTACGCTAAAAAAAGACTTTCATTCGTATTACGCTTCTTTCTTACGTCGAAAAGAAGTCCTTCATTCCGACTACGCTTCATTCCAACGTCAAAAAAAAAAATCCCTCTGTTGCTTTCTTACGTCGGAAAGAAGACATTCATTTCCACTACGATTCTTTCCTACGACGAGAAGTCCTTTATTCACACTACACTTCTTATGTGAAAAAAACCCTTAATTTCCACTACGCTTCTTTCTTACGTTGGCAAGAAACCCTTCATTCCCAATATGCTTCTTTCTTACGTGGAAAAGACCTTCATTCAGTGCTTGAAGAATGCTTAGTAATGTCTACATTTTTTCCCAAAACTGATTGAATGAATGCCAAGATTTTGTAAAGCACTAATTAAGGCAGGTGCTGATTTTAGTGAAAAACCAAATACAATGTCGTAACTGAAATTTTATTTTTTACTTAAAAAACTGCAAAACTATCTTATTTTGAGGTATTTTTAAAGAAATGCAGGGTGGTGGGTCGCAATTTTTTTCCTGTAGTATACATGCACTAACTTCGTAAAGGAAGAAATAGAACGGTTTTAAGACGTCAGTAACGTTATTGATTTTTATTAATGGAGACAGCATTTCGATGAGGGACCTCAAAGCAAGTGAGAACAAGAGAGAAAATCTAATGTAGGAAAAATTTGAATAGATCAGAGAAATGACAGAAAGGAAAAGCTAGTTGACTGTTCAGAAAGACAATATATGTCAATTAAAAATGTAATCTTTTAAGAGCGAAAATTACTTAAATGTACTCTGAATAGAACAGACAGAGAAAAAATGTACTGACTTCTAACAAATTCAGTAACATTGAATAATGCGAACGTTATAATAAAAGATAATGTCAGAAGCGATTATAGTTCGTTAATTCAGAGAGATAAATTTGACTTTAAAATACAGAAAAACAAAATTATTTTCCTAAAGGAAACATATGGTAATACAGCCAAAAAGAAAATGGCCGAATTTCAGAAAGAAATCAAGAATATATTCCAGGCTTTATGGAATAAGGAAATTAACAAAGAAAATGTTAGCAGAAAACGTCTAACGAATGTGCTTGAACACGCAATAGACAATTGATTTTGAAATGCTCGTATTACAAACAGAAACCAATCTATATACAGGCTGTTAAAAGACTAGTGGCAGTTGGTCCGATGATCGTACAAGACGTGAATCACAATGTTGTGTTGATTCATACATATGAAACGTTCCTCAGACATGGAGAATTCTTCCCTTATATATATATATATATATATATATATATATATATATATATATATATATATATATATATAACAATAATAATAAATGAGCAAATATTAATAATAAAAAATAAAAATAAGAACATTTCGAGACTATATGTCGGGCATCGGTAAAATTAATTTATGTATATATATAAATATATATGTGTGTGTATGCGTGTGTATATGTATGTACACACACACACACACATATATATATATATATATATATATATATATATATTATATTAAAAAAAAAAAAGAACAGTAAGATATATAATCCGGTGTTTTTATTGATATTTTTATTTTACAAAACTGTGCTCAGTTAAATAAATTTACAGAGCATAAATATTATAAATTAACTGATTTAAAAATATAGTTCCATCGACTTTACACAGGAATCACAATGTTTCAAAAACAGAAACTAAAAACTTCAAATCCAATTATATAATTAAATTAAAAGCCTTAGTTCTGTTTCATCTTC